CCACTCTCTCAGTCCAGCCCATCTCACAGGGTTGTTGTTGTGGGGAAAATAGGAGGAGGAAGGAGTATTAGGTGTGTTTGCTGCCTTGAGTTATGTGTTCAAAAAAGGTGGGATGATGATGATTTCAGAAGTTGTGCCTAGGTCTTAGAATTGTAACATGGAAAAGGAGGTTTATAGGAATTCATAGGTCTCCTATGGCTTTCCCAGCTACTTTTTCTAAAAAGAGTAGTTTTGAGTTTGCCATATTTGATCTAAAGCAACTTTTCCAGCCTTGGGGGCCACAAGCAATACATATGGGAGAAAGGTTGTGATATTTACAGGGACCTCTGTGGTGCAGGGAAGAAATTTAATGTTACATCTCACTTCTGTTTATTTTTCCTTCATGTCCCTGCCCCTGCTAATGTTATTAAAATGTACTTAAGCCCTGAGAGTGTTAGCAGCCCAGCAGCTGCTGATGCTTACAGAGCTAAAGTGACAGTTTTAGCAGCTGCTCTGAGACAGCTTTGCAATCATCCATAGAGGTTTCTTGCAACATCTGGTGGAGGGACCCTGCCAGCAGCTGCATTTTTGACAGCAGGAGAAAAGGCAGGGGGGAAGAAATGAACCACAAATAGCTGGGTCTGGTTGCAGAATTGGTGACCTGCGTGCAGCCTCAAAATAGTCCACCTCAGATCTGATGCAGGAAGGGCACTTGCTGATAACCAAGGGATACATATTTTTAGGGGCATTGTATGAGGCCAACATTTTGCTCCAGTTGTTTGTGTTTGGGGGGGCATGACATATGTGGCTTTTGTGGGGAGAGCAGCTGGAAGCAGTGAAGCACTCAAGTGCTCCTACTCCAAGTGGAGGTGCCTCCCCCCTTTCCAAAGCATGGCTTGGCCAGCCTCCTTCCCTGGGCTTGTGTGATTCCTATGTCTGGCTTCCTCTCCTCCAGTTCCACCATTGCCCCCATCCCTGGTTGGGACACGTCAAGGGGCAACGGCATTCATAGCCCTGTAAGGAAGCACCGTCACAGCTAGCTTCCTCTGTCACTGTATGCAGGACTGACTTATCCGTTAGACACCAGTGACATGAAATGAAATAGAATTTATTTTCATGCCTTGCCTTTCGGCCTTGAAAATATACCCAAGTAAATGGAATCCAAATACATAAACTACAAATAAAATATACATAATATTCAAATTAAAGTTCAATCATATATTAAATGGTACTGAGATAATTCTCACATTCTCTCACAACCCTTCTGACTGTCATAATGACAACACACAATGCAATAACAGTTAATTTAATTTATTATTAACAGTTTATAAAAAACAGGCAAAAAAAGCACATCATTTGAACACCAAACCAATTATCTTATTTATAACCTATAGACTTAGCATGAATACTACAATTTAATAACTTTGATGATATACAACAAAGATAATTAATTGGCAACAACTGATTATTGTAACAAAATAATACATACAACATTATTTACTCTTCCCTATTTATCTGTAAAAATATGAAGGCAATATTGAAGAATTGAGTGCCCCTAAGTTCACCCATATTACATCCCTATTGCAAGAGCTGCACTGGCACCCAGTTTTCTTCTGGGTGCAATTCTAGGTGCTGGTTATCACCCTTAAAGCCCTACATGGCATAGGACCAGGTTATCTGTGGAACTGCCTCTCCCTGAGAGTATCTGCCCATCCTGTCAGAGCAGATAAGGTGGACATGGTCCAGGTCCCTTCCCCTAAACCAGTGTTGTCCAAACTTGGCCACTTTAAGCCACATGCTGGCTGGGGAATTCTGGGAGTTGAAGTCCACTCATCTTAAAGTGGCCAAGTTTGGACAACACTGCCTTAAACATTGCCATCTTGTGGGTTCTCAGAAGTGTGCCTTTTCCATTGCAGCTCCTGCCCTATGGGACACCCTTCTGGAGATCTGACAGGCCCCTACCCTTTTAACCTTCAGGACAGCACTTAAGACGTGGCTCTTCCCTCAGGCTTTGGGATAGGACAGTGCCTTTCAAACTTGGCAACTTTAAGATGTGTGATGTCAATTTGTAGAATCCCCCAGCCAGCATGCTCGCTGGGGAATTCTGGAAGTTGAAGTCCACACATCTTAAAGTTGCTGACTGGGAGAGGGTGAGGTTAGAGTGAGAATGTGTGGATTGTGTCAGGGAAGTGTGGCTGCGGTGCCAGATTTTTTCTTTCTGGTTATTGATTTTTGGCTTTTATTATGTATATGTTGTTATATTCTTGATTGTAGGTCACCCAGGGATTGGTTTAAGTTGGGCAGCTATACAAATGTTTTAAATAAATAAAATCATAAGAAATACAAAGTTTAATACTGTTATTTTTATAGAGAGAGGGGCCCATGAAGGTAAAAGTGCCCACAAAAGTCATAACACGTCCCTGATTACATGGTGCAGCTCCTTCTTCCTACAGCTTTAGCCTATCCCACCTGGAGCCATGCTTGTCAGGGAGCAGGAGTGGTGGTGTAGTGAGCAGGCCCCAGCTCGAGCTGTGATAGTGCCAGGTGGTGCAAAATGTTCCATGAGCCACAAGTTTGAGAATGCTGATATAAATGAGTGGCAGACCCTTGCTTTGGGGAGCAGAGAAGTAAACTCCAACAGTTGGGATGGAATCTACTCTTCCTACTGCCTCATTAATAGAAATGAGATAATACAGTCTTAACTGACAGGATACCCAGAATGCTATGTTTCCTCCTATGCAGTGGGTTGTTTCTAATGCTTTCCTAGTTGATATAATAGTATGAAAGAAGTGTTTCTCCTTTTTTCAAAGGTTGATTGTTTTGGTTATGATAAGAGAGATGGCAGGTTTAGAAACTAGTCTTTGCTCCATATCTTGCATTGCCCATAACACCTCTATTCTTCCATTTCACAGTCCTTTTTGCTAGAATTTAATAAAGCCGAGGACTCTGAGCAAAAAGGGAAGTTACCGACTTTGTGTTGACAGTCAATTTTGTTGCTTCAAGGCCAAGTTGTACCTTTTGCAGTGAAGCTGCTTTAACAGGTGATAAACTAACAATCTAGAATCCAAAGCTTTAAGTAGTAATCTTTTCCAGACATCTTCGAAAGCCTTAGGCATCTGCTTTTGCCATCACTTCCTACAATTCTTTAAATTATTATTATGCACTTGATTTCTATCATACAGATGAATTGCATTCAACTTCTGTTAATTATAGCTTTCCTTTTGTTCGTGAATGGCTGCCTTCCTCGCTTGTCTGCATATAATGCATCCTGTTAAGGCAGTGGCCTGAGGCAGGGCAGAAAAAAATCCTACTGTTGCCAGCTCTGGGCAGGTCTCCAGCCCCATCATTGATAGAGCCATTGTAGTTGCAATAGCACTTCTTTCTCCATCTTCATGGAAGTTGTCTCTGAATATATCCAGTGTGCTTAGTTTGCTCATATTTGAGGAAGGCTGAACTTTTGTACACTTCAGGAATATGTTTTGTAAATTAGCACTAAATTGCTAACCTGAGTCTCATACACTTGAGTCAGTAGACTTGGTGAGTGGCTTATAACAAGAAAGTTTGTGATTAAGCATTTTTTTGCATTTATATCCCATCTTCCCTGTAGGAGATTAAGATAATGAAACAGGTTAGAATGAGAGATAATTATTGACCAAAGTCGCTGAGTGAATTTTGTAGCTGTTTGAGGATTTGAACTTGGGTTTGCACAATTATAGTCTAGCATTCTAACTATTTAATGAAGCTTCCAAATAAGTTAGAAAAGGTTGTTTGTTATTTAACTTAAAACAAGAACTATTCAAGCTGAATGTCTGCCACTATTATACAAATTTCTCTCAGGCTTTATTACTTAACTACTACTGCCCTTACATTTTGGGCATTGTAAATATAATTAGCTAGATGTAATTTTGCCTGATCTACATGCTAATGTAGTGAGATGACCCAGGGAATTATGTTCAGACTGCAGGTGTGAAGTAACTCTTCAGTCACTTCTAAAAGTGAACAATAAGCACAGTTGTTGCTTATTAAGGGATTACTAGTTTGATTATGATAGGAAATCACATCCTTTCATCTGCAGACTATCTTGATGCTAGTCACTATTATTCATTTTGATCTAGATCAGTGTTTCCCAGCTGTAGAAAAGTCCAGATGTGTGGCCTTGAGGTCCACACATCTAAAACTCATCAAAGGTTGAGAAATACTGGTCTAGATGAAAGCTGGAGCCTAGCATGGATGATGTATGAGCCAATATACATACAGTATATATAATAACAGTTATATAACTTGTATGATTTATAGTGTGCAGATGGGAAATGGCATTTTAAAACAGTGCCCCATCAATGAAAACTCAGTATATGTAGTGAAACAAGTACATGGGGAAGAAGGTTAGGATAGCCTTGAGCGTTCAGAAACCATGCAAAGTTGGGCCTGTTTTACTGTTTGAGTAGGAGATCACCAGGGAATGCCAAGACTGTAGATTAGGAAAAACCATGGAAGAAGGCCTTTGGAAACCAATGGATATGTCTAAGAAATCATGGGAAATGGCATTTTAGAATGCCTCCCTATCTGTAAAAATTCTGTATATGCAGTGGAACTAGTACATTGAGAAACAGGCTAGACTACACTAATGTTTCTGAACTATCATCATTCAGTGCCCCCTACATTGGTACCCTTCAAAAAAATCAGACTAAAACTCTGAGAACTCCTGTAGAGCATGGGAGTTACATTTTAACATATTTTAAGGTTGGCTGTCCAAGTTCTGGACATGTATGTATAATAGTTGGAGAAAGTGGATAATCAGTTGGAGGAAGTGGATAACCCCCATAGTCTGAAGTAGACCCAACAAGAATTCTATCACTCCGTTCTGTGAACCGTGCTAGAAGTTTTGAACATGAGGTTAGAGCAAACCAGTTTGAGTAAGTCAGGAAAGACATTTGGGAAAAAGAAATGTTTTAATAATCTTTTAATCTGCTTAATTCCAAAATTGGTATAGCTGTTCTAAATCCTAATCGTTTTTCTTATAGAGATCCACGCCCAACAAACCAGCGTGTAAATGAGCATGTCAACAATGATGTAAACCTACGGATTCAAAACCTCACTATTTTGGTCAGGAACATCAAAACCTATTATCAGGTATGTGTATATACATGTATTTGTCTGCAGTATTATCTGCCAGAAATATATAATAAAATATTTTGTAAAAAAGAGATCAACTTGCCAGAGGAAGTAAAGAGGAGCTGTGTTTGCTGAAATTTTCAATTAATGTTCTGATCCTTGAAACATGTTGAGGAAAAATACTTAGCTCTGTAAAAGTGCAGACATTTGCTTCTATTAGTTTCAGGTGGATAATGTAAATTGACTAATTTTAGACAATAATTCAGATTACAGTGAATTTGTTGCAGTAAACTCCTTTCAGGTTTTTTTCATGCAAAGCTAGTGCTGGAAACATTGACATATTGGCTTGCCAAAGTCCAAGAATGCTGTATCAGAGCATCCATTGTTGATCCAGAAAGTAATGATTTCCTTTGATTTCTTAGTTAATCCATTCTATGACTTGCATTTATATTGAAACACATACAGAAGACTACATAGTGTGGAAAGCACATGTTAGTAGCAAATTAAGAATGTGATTGTAAGGTTTCGTGTAAGATTAGATTGTATAACTGGTCCAGTTGAGTTACACACTCAAAGAATATCATGCTAAACTTGAATAATGGCAGTCTTTTTTGGTAAAAATGATGTGACAATTGACAACTGTTAAGATTTTTTTTAAAATGGAAACCTAATGTCAAGTCTAAAGTAGAACCTACATAAGTAGCTTCTTCTGGATGGAGATAGCTTTGGTAGTTTAAGGTTAAAGAATGTATCATAATGATATGTTATTATTAGCTAGACCGAAGCACTGGTCCTTATCTAACATTTACTGTTCACCTGGATGAGCACATCTAGAACTTGAAAATTATTTCATGGTTGAAGAGTCTTAAGCTCATACCACTTAAATTATCCAGTAGTGTATATTTTAGTTTCAGATTGATCAGGAGATTAATTGCTGTAACTCAGTGTAACGTTATTTGATCAGTGCTAGCACTCAGGCTTAAATTGGTGGGAAAGTCCTGATTTCTGTATTACCTGAAATATAATTAGTAAACTATAATGAGTTTATATTAGATTATATCTAGTAAATTGTACACCAGTTTGGTGTAGTGGTTAAGGCATTAGGCTAGAAACCAGAAGACACTGAGTTCTAGTCCTGCCTAGGTACAAAGCCAGCTGGGTGACCTTGGGCCAGTCACTTTCTCTCAGCCCTAGGAAGGA